TCTGGCTTGAACCGTAAGGCCATGGTGTCGGCTTCTTAGATTTATAGCCACAGGCCCAAAGTACGATATACAGTTCGCAGCTGGGGGAAGGGAGGCTGTCCATTCATGCACTGACTTAATGAGCAGGTGCTTCTGGATTGCCTATCCCATGCTGGGATCATGGTCCTGCTCCCCTCCTTACTAGGCTGTGCTCATGAGTTGGCGTGAAGTGGGGGAGCTTGCCTGCTTGCCTTCGAGGAATGGAATACATGGTATGCACGCCTGGGAAGCTCCTTGAATCCCTTTATGTCAATACCCTGATGCTACAGGGGTTTGCTGAGAGGAATTTGCCTGCTCCGAAACCAAAAAACCATGTTTTTACTTAAATGGATATATTAAAAATCAAAGCCAAACCAAACCCACTATAATAAGAGCCAAGCAATGTCGCTACCTAAGCCTGATACATAGTTATTAAAAGGGTTTGAGGGAAGTCTTAAATCTATTAAATAGCAAATGCCAAGGTACAAAGTGGTTTCCCCACAGCAGTTCAGCTCGGCTTCCTGCTGTGTAGCTGGAGATTACACTGAATGTAGGGCACACTTTAGAAACATTTTCCTCTAGTGACTTAAAAAAAAAAAAAAAAAAAAATATATATATATATATATATATATATATATATATCATAAATAAAAAGTTTAGGGAAGAAAAAACCTTAATCCTCTTCTCTCTCGCTTTACATCCCATTATTCTGAGTAACTGATATGTGTGAAAACATTCTCAGTTTCAGTTTAGCTAAACCTCTGAGTCACAGGGAACAGCTTTTAAATTGTTCCTACCATTCTTATCAATCAGCTGGGTCTGTGTAAAGGAACTAGGAATGTGGAAACCTAATCACTCCCTCTGTGAAAAATCACCATGTCTCCCTGATCAGAGGAAGAGCACGATCTTAGGAAGATCTCCCCCCAGTTTTGCACCATTTCCTGGCTATTTCATTTTAATCAGGATGGTGCTGAGCTGATCTATTACTTCATAAGTTTCCCGGGCCAGGGTGGGTGTTACTGATACATGTCTTAGGAAAGCCCAGTGCCAGATACTCCCATCAGTGGAAACTCATGTTGCAAGCACGATGTTTGCACATAATAAGATGCATTTCCTTGGCAAACTGCTCCATCAGATATGCAATCACCGCGGTAGGAGGGAGTCAAGGCACACATTTTGGGAAACGCATCATGCTACTTTTATTGGTTTTCTGTATTTTTCCCTTTGTTATAAAAGAATGGTATCAGAGTTCAATTTACAGAGAGAGATGAGGAAAACTGAAAATGAGCAGGAAGGAGCCCATAAAACCACCCAGGCTGGTCATTCAGCGAATCCTTTTATGGTTAGTGGATGTCTATTTACTGCGTTCTACCAGGTCATTATTCTTGGGGATAATTTATCTGACAAATTGCTACTGGGTAAATTTTCCATCATCAATGAAAAAGACAATGGCTTCAGAGGAGAGAAGTGCTGTCCGTGGAGGTGTGAGATGTATGTGTGTTGTATCCGCTCTTCCTTTTTGCTACATACTGTGTGAATACTTCTCTGTCAAGCTTTGCCTGAGTGACACAGACCTTAAGAGATTTACATAAGCTGGACTAGAGGAAATTCACCCACATCTGAATAAACCGATGATCACAAAGTAGCTCTCTTGGGTTGAAACTAGCCCTTGTTACACTGGCTTACTTAGCAGCAAAAAAAAAAAAAAAAAAAAAAGGATATAAAATTGCCAATTAATTTACCAGAGGACACTAAATGATTTAGTCTCCCCATGGAGGCAGGTAGCTTTGTAGATAGGCACACACAAAATCATATTATCGAGGTATAAATCATATATCGAGAATGTCCTCATTTTAAGTGTGGAACGTATTTTTTGCAAGTATTTATAGACACTAAGGATATCATGGAGAGCCCCTAGCTCACTCTCCCCCGTTGCAGCTCTGAGAAACTGAGCTATGTCTCACAGATGGGCACTGGTTAAGTGAGGACGTGGTGTCCATGTTGGAGGTGCTAATACAAACTGGTCCACTGATTGGGCCATTATGAGTAGAAACTTGTAGACAGAAACTCTGGGTTTCTGATCTATGAAAAATGAACACCCAGCTGCTGGCCGCAGAGAGTGCAAGAAAGGAAGGAATGGGGCAGTGTCTTCCCAACGGTGGTGATCAGGAGGATTAGGGCTATGTTGGATGAAGGACTGGGGGAGTTTCCTGAACAGAGGGAATTTGAGGTGTGGCAGTGATTCTGACCAATGTTAACACCTGGGTGCTGACAAATAACATTTATAAATGACTTTTTCAACCACTTCCTCTGGCAAACAAGAAGCTATTATTGTCATATTGATTTTGAAATTCAAAGTTATAGAATTTTAATGAGAAGGCAGATCCAACTGGTAGATACAGTAATGATTAAAGCAACTGAAAGAGTACAAATGAGAAATAAAGTAACAATACTCCCAATGCTTAACCCAAATAGGCGGGTTTTGCTGATTTTCCAAAAAAGATGCTTGGTTATCTCGAGATAAAAATATGAAGCAAAGCTCAGTGTGAATAAACCTGCCTTTTGGTAAGAGTAGAAAAGTCAGTTAGTAATGTCATTTGTTGAAAAATCTGCCTGCACCTGGTTCTCATTTGTCCTCCAGCTGAGAAACCAAAGACAACTTCTTTTTATTGCTTGTGGTCAAACAGCAAGTTCATTTCGCCATGGGATGATCAAACGGCCAGCCTCCCCCGGCTTGAGAAGGTTTGCCTTTCACTTTCAACTTGTTCAATCATCATTAACTCTGAAAAATGTCACATTCCATTTGTGCAATGAAAATTTCACCACCGGTGACCGTTTGGGCGAAGTTTTTGTAGGCGAGGCCCTAAATCTTACAGAGCACCTCACACATTCTCAAGGTCATTTGCCTCGATTCCTTGTGTAACGTTGGCTGCCTAAGATCCCAGAGTCTGTGGCCAAGCATAGGCAACTTTGAAGAACCTCTGTGTGTGGGTGCATGTTTTCCTCTCCGCGATGGAAGGGGTTCACTGGATGATTCGACACAGGCACGTTAGTTGGACAAAACCGACATGTGCACGTGAGCACACATATGTGCGTGCGCACGCACACACACACACACACACACTGGGATTTTTACCAAGCAAAAATAAGAGTCTTCTTTACTGGGGAGATACCAGTGAAGACCACTGGATTGTAGCCCTTTTAAAGCAGAGTTGTGTTTTTGTTTTTTTGTCTTGTTTTGTTTTTACTCCGGGAAGCTAGCTTCCCTGGAGAAGGTGCAATATCAACTTGGGGAGGTTCCAGAAATTTCTGGAGAGGAGAAATAGGCTTCTTTTTCACTTTCGCCTGTGGGCTTGAGAAATCTTCGCCTCCCTTGTTTATTGTTTAATTATACTCACCCCCGCCCCCGGCCCCCACCTCTGCAGAGAAGTTCTGAAATGTAAATCCCAGGGAATGTGGCGTGGGGCCAGATTAAAATAGGAATTTCTGATAGTGGATGTCAAGCAGCAAGACTGCTAAATTAAGAGGTCACTCGATCCAGAGTCTTAAAGCAGAAGGTGTACTGAGGCAAGTCAAATAAATCTCGTGCCATTTGGCAAGTATGTCATAGCTAAAACAGGCCCCAGTTTACAGGTCCTGATTAAATTTTCAAGGTCAAACAGGAGAGCAGGTATATGCAGAGCTCTCCAGAGCCGTAAGTGCCAAGGTGCTAACGTCCTGTTTTATTTTTTATTTTATTTTATTTTATTTAAAGATTTTATTTATTTGACAGAGAGAGATGCAGTGAGAGAGGGAACACAAGCAGGGGGAGCGGCAGAGGGGGAAGCAGGCTTCCCGCTGAGCAGGGAGCCCGATGCGGGGCTCGATCCCAGGACCCTGGGACCAGGGCCCGAGCCAAAGGCAGACGCTTAACGACTGAGCCACCCAGGTGCCCCTCTAACGTCCTGTTTTAAAGTCTCCAAGAAGGGCGTCTTGATTTCTAGCTTTAGTTTAATGCCAAAGTTCTGCTGGGTCAGCTGCTGAAGGAAGGGGGAGGTTATCAGTGGGTCTGGATTAGAGGCCCATAATCTTGGTCTCGGTCTCTTTCAAAGGTTAGCTCTGGCCTCATAATATATTAGAATATTTATTGTTGCTAACATCCAATTTTTAATTGACTAGTAGAAATGGAGGGTAGGAGAGAGGGCAAAGTAGTCTAATGATATTTTCCGCTGCTTCTAGCTAATACAGGACTAGACCTTTGGTCTAAAGGAGAAATGTGTGGCTCCTAAAATATGAAAGAGTGTCCTGCCATTTTAATGGCTGGGTTGAAATGCCTGCCTTTTAAAGAAAAGAGATTCCAGTGCTAGGTTATTAGCTGAAAAAAGCTTGTGTATAATTTCCTAAGAGAGATTTTTTTTTAAAATTCAAACACTTGGATATGTACTTGGTATTCTAAGTGCTTTAGAAATCTTACCTCATTTGAGCTTCATAGTAATTTCAAGAGGTAAAATTACTTACCTAAGGTCATGGAACTTACTCAGGCCCCAGAAGAGGAAGTCAGCATCCATTATCCTGTGCACCTCTATTTTTTCACAGAGACCTCTCAGGCTACGCAACCCAAATGCCCACTTACCTGTTGCTTCAAACTGGGCAGATGGTGTGCAAAGAGGGAGTGTTGGATCCCTTTGTTCCATTTCGTAGGGATGGAAAAAGGGGAAGCAGCTCTGTCAACTTCCCCACTCTCCTGTCTCCTCATGGAGATCACCTTTCTACTGCTGGCTTCGGAGCGAGCGTGTGAACCGTTTCTGTGTCTCTCTCACACACACACACGCACACTCACGCACCCACACACACTCACTCACACTCACGCACACTCACTCACACGCACGCACACTGCTATGGCTGTGCTTCACTGAGCTGCACCAGGTTTGTGATTCGGGCATAAAAGCAGACATCATTTGCTCATTAGAGCTAAGTTTTCAGGACGTGCCCCAGTGACTGACCTCCACTAACGGCCTGGGTTTGCGCTCGACTGCAAACCTGAAGTGGCAGAGTTCACAGTAGCTGGTGTTTGAGGACGACAGCCAGTGCTCCAGGCAGCTCCGATGAATTGTCCCCAAGGTCCCCGTGCATTCGCAGGGGGAGAGCAAGTCCTCTTGGCTGCTGCCCTCGTGGCAGATCCTGCACATCGGCCGGTCATTGAAGGGGCTGCAAGAGAAGGAGGGGCATCTGCTGGTCACCAGGCCCGAAACCGTCGCCACGAGGATGGTCCTCTGGCTCTGTGTCCTTCAGACCTTCCTCAGGCAGACACCTGCTTTAACACCCTGGATGGACACTCCGTGTACACGGTCGTGGAGGCCGGGGCGGGCCGGGGTCCTCGGGCACCTCCTTTTGACAATATACAGAAGGAGGGGGGTGGCCCAGGGCCGAAAGTGGGTGAAAGTGAGCAGCATGTTATTGTTGTCTTGGACGTGGATGTTGTTCAGGCAAACGACCAATCAAGAAATAAGAATGATTCCTCACCATTAAAAACAGAAATTGTTTTGAAATGACATCACCTGCAGTTTCTAGACAAATTGTGCCTTTTGAATCAAACCAGGACACTTTCAAATACTCAGAGGTTCTTTTCATTTCTCCTTTCATTAGGGTGGGACAGTGAGGGGAGGCAAGTTAACTGGCAGCCAAGTCTTGAGCCATAACACAGAAGTGTTGTCTGAGTCAGAGTACCGAGCTGAGGGGCAGGTGATCCTTTGAGCTTCCCGAGGACGCTAAGGATACTACGCCGAATGCAAGTAATGACTGTGTCCTAGGGAGGCGGCCTCCGTCCAGAGCTCTGCCATTAATCTGGAAAGAAAAGCCAGCCCTGCACGTTCCGTGAGGCACACGGCGTAGTAGTTGATGAGGCAGGCTCTGAACCCCAGGTCTGCTGCCTCCCATTTGGCTAACTTGGTTCAAGTAACGTCATCCCTCTGTACTTTAGTTTTGTCCTCTCTAAAACAGGGGCAAAGAATGGTGCCTTCCTCAAAGGTGACATTAGGATGAGAAAAGATGGTCCAAATCCGAAGCTTAGAATAAGGACCAGCATGTAGTAAATGTGTCGTTAATGGTGACTCTTTTCACTTACAGGAAAACTCAGGTCAGGGAAAGTCAAAATGATGTAGCGCTCATCAGGGAAGTTAGTGGACAATGAAGGGCTCAAACTAAGATGGCCTCAGCTCCCCGTGCATACTGTGTCTCGGGAAAGGACCACTCCTTTCTGATCGACATTATCGTGTATCGCTTCTCATATTGTCCTTTATTGGGCACTCAGTTTTAAACTATGTTATCACTGTATGTGCCCACCTGGGGACAGCCCCTCTACCTGGCATGGAAGCACTGCTGTTTCCCAAGGGCCTTTCTGGGATGATCCTGGGAATGAGTGAAGGCTAAAGGGGGATTAAAAGAGGAAAAGACTTCCTTCCTACTTGCCCAGAAGGGGGACCCACTCAGGGCTGGGAGAAGAAAGTTGAAGGAGTTGACTTTTTTTCTCTGACTATTCCTGGCTCCTTCATTCCCACTGAGCCAAATGCATGTGAAAGTCGAAAACCATCTGGTTTACATGACCACGTAAACATGTGAAAACACCTGATGCATGTGCGTGTGAGCATGGGCACACGCACACACACACACACGCCCTGGCTCACAGGTCTAAGTCATCTTAGCTCTGTAGCCTGTTCTTCCTGATTAAACAAGGTGTGTGAAGGCTGCCAGGGTGACGGATGCACACACGGTGACCTGTCTCAGTTCACAGATGAGCAACGATGCTCATCGCCGTGTCATATTCTGAGTCCTAACTGATTGTTAGAAGCTTTTCGAGAGGTGGGAGAATACATATTGACTTTTTTCTACGCGACCCCTTAGCGAGAGCTGCACTGATCGGCAGCAGAAGATGCGTGGGCAGCGGTTCGCAAGATGCATGAGGGTGTGAGTCCATGTCTGGCGGCCACCAGGTCCAGGCTGGGGTGACAGAAAATGTGGTGTTGCCAACAGTCCTGCTGCAGGTGCGTGTGGACCTGGATCTCTCCCGTAGGGTTTGGTTGAGTTGCTCAGACCAAGGTAAGCAGTCAGTGTGCGAGTGACTGGTCTGAAGCTTCTGGGTCAGAAGTGGTGCTGGTATCAGAGGACAGGTCCAGTGTTGATAGGCACTGTACATTAATTGATCAGAGTTGCCCCTACCTATCCTGACAGAAAGCTGGAGAAGCCAGAGAGCATGTATTGGCCGGGCAGCCCGTGGCTCTCAATCTGCCATTGGACAGCAACAGCACAAGAGAGACCTCCAGGGACAAAGAGCCAGCCTGGACGAGCCATCTCTGGGCTGGTCGGAGCCTTTGGCTTGCTTTGGTTCCTCATTTTGGGGAGACAAGCTGTCGCAGTTTGAACAATCGTAGGGCAGGGTGTGTTGGGAAGGATCAGGAGTTGGGGGGCCCATGGGGCACAAAGGAGGGGGCCACAAAAGAGGCCCCCGAGTGGGGACGTGCCAGAGAAGAGACTCACCCGGGATGAAGCCCCAGACGATCTCCCATCAGGCAGTACTGATTGGTACAAGCACCAGGAATGTCCCTTCAGAAGTTGTGCCCACAAGTCCAATCACTTCTGGCTCTGTCCCCTGAAATCAGGTGCCTCCTTCCTCCCATGCTCACAAAGGACCACCTTTGTTAGCGCCTGGCAACAAGAGCGTACCATAGCAATGTCCACATAACAAATGCAAGGAAAGCGACCCTGTGTCTTGTGGGATCTTTCCCTGCCTGGCTCTCTCTGCACGTGTGACCTGAAGTGGAAAACTCAACAACGGGAATTTTAGCTTTATGCCCGATCGCTATAGAAATGGCGAGGATGAGAGGACTCGGGCAGCACCTCGGCTCACCTGACACAAAAGACCTGAGCGCTAATTACGTTCCCTCTGGCAGTTTCCATCTGACCGAGAGTCTTCCGGATCAATTACAGATTCAATTATTTTAATAGCGGTACTACCTCTGGGTGGCGAGAGTCCGCACCACCGTTGACAGCAGCTGCCCGTCCTTGGCCGAAACTTGCATGACATACTGCGGCTGCCCGGTCACTAGGCTGCCACAGTCCTCCACGGTCTTCACCACGGGCGCAGCCGAGCTGGTGCAGTCTGGCAACACTTCGGGCAGGTGACTGCAGCGGCTGGTTGTCATGGTAACAGACAGCAATTACTCGGCTAATGGCTTCCACGTTCATACAGGATTTCCATCTAGGAGAGATCAGAAAACAGTTTACTTGGGCAGGGTGGTTAACAGAAAACGGGGGAATTACAGGCCACCCACCTCATCGTGTCATTATTTAATATAAATAACAAGGGGAGCCTAGACATGGCACATTATCTGGTTACCATGTCATGCACGCACGCACGCGTGCACACAGAGCCCGCGGGAAACAGCGGACGTGCTTATGAGCCAGATAGCGAACCTGTCGGTGTACATAAACATTTCGGAGCCCCGCTCTTGGAGAGGGGAGGGCGTGATGGCTCTGGAGCCCGATCTGAAGAGGAGATAAGCAGTTCTCCTGCTCTGTTGCCAGAGAAGCAATAAGTCTTTGTTTTCACTCTCTCAAAGTTACTAGAATCATTATTAAAACCGTTCGCAACTCTTTTTTCTTGTAAGCAATTTATGCTCCATTCAGCTTCATTCTGAGATGCTAAGATTAAAAACAGAGAGAAAGAGGGGGAAAAAAAGACTCTGGCCAAGTAGCAGCTTCTAGGACAATATTGGCCAGAATGAATCAATTAATGTCCACCTTTCTGACTGCTGCCATATCTGCGTCCCATAATACAATTATCTACTTAATATATCTTGACAATTAACTTCCTTTAAAAACTTAACCTATTTTGGCCTTGTCTTAAATAGTTATTCATGGGAAGTGATTAGTTGGATGAGCTTGTTACATTTTTTCTTAATGGACATCACAATCAAAACATTAGAATTGAGTCTTTGTTAGTGGAATACTGCATCATCATAGAGGATCACACAGGAGAATGCAAGAAACGAGGATGGACGAGACCTCCACTGCCTGTTAAAAATAATCCATTCCCTGACATACAGCCTGTCACATAGCCTGCAAGGAATTCTGTCCCTGATCGGGGTGGTGTGGGCTTGAACTGGACCTCAGATTCAAAGCATTCAGACCCACTGGTGTGTGGACCCACTGCATCCAGTAGTAAGTCTGTTGGTGATGCATGAAAAATAGAGGTCTTTATAGAAACTCATAGGAGCTGCATCTCACTTTTAGAAATACAGTTGTTTCTGTCCAGCCTGCTCACCTCAAGCTCCACGGAGCCCAAGGCGGCCTGGGCTCTGTAGGGAGACACAGGACTGGTTGATGGGCTGAATTCACATCAATAAGCAGACCGGATGCTAAAGGCCCCAAATTAAAGTAAATCCATCCCACAACCCCAGGAGGATTTTTGGAATTCCTCAAAGGATTGTTTTCTTCTAGCTCTTTCTCCCAGTTATTATACAGTACTTGACTCCTCCGGATCTGGCAAACAGGATCTCCCCGACTTCCAGAACAATGTGCATCAACTGGACATTCTTAGGATGAGAACACAGTGTTTGCAGATGAACTTGAACTGACGCCCTCCCTCCCAACATGTGCATGTCAGGGAGGCCTGACCATCGGAGACAGTTGGATGGGAAGGGAATCCCCTCCTTGCTGCTGCGGTGTCTGGCTGGCCTCGCTCTAGCATGTTCCCATTCCTGTCCTTGGCTGCCACCAATCTGCTCCGCGTTTGTGGTCTGCTCTCTGCCGGGACACCTTTGGAGCCTGGCCATGGGGAGGCGGTTACGGACAGCAGCCCTGGTCGGTGGCCTGATGTGGGGACACAGGCTAGGGCCGCCTCTGCTCTGTCATTGGCACCACTCTGGTGGGCTTCTCAACCACCAGGCAGTAAGCAGACAAAGGTACAACTGCATAATTAGCTAGTTTAGTTTTGCTTTTTAAATAGGATTTGTTGCCTTTCTTTGTTTCTTTTTACATTGCCAAAGCCAGAAATGTATGTTAGAGAAAGTACAGAAAAGTACAAGGAAAACAACACAATTCAGTCATAATCCCGCCACTCGGATAACCACAGTAAACTTTCGGGGTGGATGTCTTTCTAATTTTTGGCAGGGTTGACAGGGTGGAGTTGATTTGTAGTAGAGGCCAGATTTTTCTTTTTTTTTTTTAAATAAGTGAGTTAAGGTAGCTCTCAGGCCACAGAACAAAAGGATGTTCAAGATCCAACTTCTAAAACTGTCTAATCCCCCTCCCCTGGCCTGCTCTTATAAAACCCCATTGACATGATTTTAAATTCTCATAATGCCTCCCAGTCACCAAGTGTAACTTCCTGGCACAGCTCTCTTGCTTCACAAGGCAGCCATAGATTAAGAGCCAGGGGTGTGTTGGCAGGAAAAGCAGACACAGTGACCTTCTTGCGGCATAGAATCATTATGTCTGGATGCACTCTGAGAGTCTATTTTCGGGTTTTGCATAACTTCAACTCACAGCACCAAATGCTCCCTCCCAGTGCTCGATGGAACGGGAAGGAGGCGGAGAAGGGATGCTCAGAGGGAGAAGAGGAGATCAGGGCTGTCAGGAGTGAGGCTACCCTAGTGAAGGGACATCACTCAGGCACACGATGTCCCCAAGTTCATTCACTTATAACCCAGATTAAGTTCTCATCAAAGGAAGCAGTTCTAAATATATGACCCAAATCCACAATAAAATGCCCCTAAAACAATTCTAGAAGTAGAGTCCCCTTTAAACTTATTTTATATCTGTAATTTCACTTCTGGTTGCTAGACTTCATTTCATTTCTCTTCTCAAAGGCAAAAGAGATATCACAGGTCATCTGATCAGTTTATTCCCTTCACAGTGGGTGCTGGGCACAGAGTTGAGCATAAAGGGACAGAGCGCTCCTCTACCTTGCCTCCTCCTCTTGGGCCATCTCTTCAGAGCCCTGAACCCCACTTGGGACCTGCCAGACGGGTCACTCCGGTCTGGCACTCACTGAAGAACACACCCGCACATTCGCTAACTACCATGCATCTTGAGATACCAAGCCTGGCATGCCCATGATGAGTTCCCATGCTTCTGAGAGACCACGTCTTGAATTGCAAATGGGGTGGAAAGGATACTGCAGAGCATAGACACCTGAGGCCATGGTGGGAAGGGCTGAGTTGGTTCCGACCCCACAAGAGTGGATCTCTTCATGTCCTCAGGTGGAGGAGGACAGATGGGAGCACCGTTCTCCCCAGTCTCGGTCAAAAGGAAGCCTGGAGGCCTGCACTAGGCCTGGGGCAGGAGTGGGCCTCTGCAGGCCGCATGCGCCAATTGGCATGCATATGTTGCACCTGGGGCAGTGACAAATGGCCTGCTGCATTTCCCCGTCTCCTTCAGAGCCACCTGGGAAAACAGCGGGCTGTTGCTGTGGATGCTAGAAAGAGCTGAGCTGTCGCTTTGCAGCCTAACTGGGCTTCCACGGATCTTCCTGCAAAATTTCAAGCACCATTTGACTGCTTTCTTATCAACACTGCTGCTCTTGTGGGCGAGTGTCTTCCCAGTTCACCCAAGAATTCGGCTCTCGGGATTTCTCGGGACAAAAACACAATGCCGGTGGGGAGGAGGGGCGTGTCTCTGTAAACTCAAACATCAGATTGCACTGGTAGGACAGGTCCTTTGTTGGCCAGGCTTGACTCCTTGTCTAATTGCTTTCTGAGGCTGCGAATAAAACATGATTTGGCACTGGCCAAGTCCGGCTGCGCGCAGCGCAAGGCATGGCACTAGGTGGATGAGAGGGGGACAGTAAAAGAGGAGGGAGAGGCTCAATGAAAGAAAGCCTGATGAGACCATTGTTAAGATACAAAAGGCCTGTCTGTTAAACTGTGACCCCTTTAAAGGACAGAGTACAGGTTTTACCAAAGCAAAGACTCAACCAGGCTGCAGCTAATCGTTGCCGTGTTTCTGCACAGTCTGCCTTTGGTAAGTGATTTCCATGGGAACATGGCTGGCACCATGAGGACACATCCGGAGGATGTTGGGGAGGTGATTTTGGGGGGACTCTGTTCACCTCTGCTGCCCCCTGGCCCCAGCAGCCCCTGGAACCTCCCTGAGGATTGCAGAGTTAGGGGAGAAAGCTCTGTTCTCAGAGGCAGGTCCCCCAAGCCTGCACCTTGGCTCAGCACTCCGCAGGGTCACTCAGCTTCTCAGCCATGGTTGAGATTTCTTGCATATTTGGAATGAAAATACTAGTACTTCCTGAGCCACTTGGTCAGGGTGTTGGTGAGGCCTCAAATAATACATGTGAACATGCTTTGTGAACTGGACTGAGCCACATGCAGAGAATGCCACATTAACCTTCATTCCTGCTCTTTTTGTAAGCTGAGCTGCATCTTTTTTCTGTCTTTGAAAACCATCTTCCCCCATGGCTGGTGAGCTTCCGCCAGGCTGTACTTCTAGATCACGCTTGAGCTCTGACCTTGTGCCACTCCATCCCACTGGCAGGTAGCATGGAGGCACCTTCTTCCCTGTTCATCCACTTCTCCTCCTTCTCCTCAGCCCTGTCTGTTCAGATCCCTGAACACAGGTTTTCACTTGTTCGTGAAAACGCTGAGTGAAGGCACATGGTGAGAACCTGCTATTCTGTTGGAGACCTTTGGGTCTGTATGTTACAGCAGCCGCCGTGATCTTAGCTGATCTAGCACGTGATAAATATACTAGAAAATAAAGTGCAAGCCACGCCCAAGTGCCTTTGCAGGCCTGTTTCCATCAGACTGTATTTTCAGTGACAAGTCAACTTTAATCTCTTAGATTTAGGACAACAAGGCTGTTTCGGGGAGGGATCTGTCAAGCTGGCATCTCTGTTGGGATGTACAAATTACCATGGGGATTAAAGGTAAAAATCAGAGCGTCAGAGTATGTGTGTTAGCCGCACCGACCTGGTCCGGCAGGCTGCCTGGCAGCAAGCGGACTGAGCAGGTCCCAAGCTGGGACCCTGTAGCAAGCATGGACCTCCAAATTTGACCCTCATAATTCCAGAGAGTTTTTTTTTTTTAAAGATTTTATTTATTTGACAGAGAGAGACACAGTGAGAGAGGGAACACAAGCAGGGGGAGTGGAAGAGGGGGAAGCAGGCTTTCCCGCTGAGCAGGGAGCCCGATGTGGGGCTCGATCCCAGGACCACGGGATCATGACCTGAGCCGAAGGCAGACGCTTAAC